AGGTAGTCTGCCTGACAACTTTCCATGTCTGAATGTGTACAGTGGACAGGGCTGGAACATGAAGTTCTTCCCAAGCCAAAATCGGGCTGGCTTTTCTTGCAGCCACACGACTTCTGGTGCCTCCTTGATGACGGATGTAAAGCTTGGCCATGATGTTGTCTGACTGAATTCTTGCTAGATAACCCTGCAATTGGGGGGTCCAGCGTTGAAGTGACAACAACATTACTCTGAGCTCCAGGATGTTTATTGGGAGCCACAATTACTCAGATGACAAAGTCCCTCAGACCCACAGGCTGGCATCCGCCGTGAGTCCAAGGCATCTTAAGGAAGGACTTCTAAGGCATCTTAAGGAAGGACTTCGTTGATTCCAGTTCCAGACAGGTTATCCGTCACGCCTGAGCAAGATTCATCAGATGGGAATGATCTAGGGATCGAACCCTTTCCTACTTAACTAGGATGTTAAGTTGCAATGACCTGGAGTGGAACTGAGCATAGGAACTGTCTCAAAAGAGGCTACCACCAGGCCCAGAACACTAATGCAAAAACATGTAGATGCTTCCTAGACCACAGGGTCCAAATGTGGGAGCGCACAGTCAGCAAATCCTCCTGCGGCAAGAAGACCCTGGACAGGGTTGTCTCCAAGACCAGGCCTAGGTTCTCCAAGCATTGGGAAGATTCAAGCACGGATTTCTGCACATTCAAAATAAATCTAAAGCTTTGTAAGGGCTGGTGCGGACTGCTCCTTGCATGCACAAAATGCCAAGATAGGGGCCAGCTCCTTTGTTAACACCCTTAGTGCCATGGATAAAATGAAGGGAAGAGCGACAATTGGGAATGCTGGATTCCCACAACAAAATGCAAGAAGCGATGGCAGGCAGGGAAGGCGAGAAGGTGCTCAGTGTCTAGGCAATGTAGGCAGCAGTAAGGGAAAGATGTTTACCTCTACATGCAGAATGCCTTCTTTACAGTAAGAGCTGAATGTGTTTCCAAATGCAAAAATTATAACTGGCTACTAATATTAGAAGTAATTGCACTATAGGATGTTAATCCAGAAAAAAATGCAATTGCCTTAGTGAATCAGGAAGGAATTTTCCCCTATTGAAAATCCGTCCATGCTTTATAGCGTCCATTGCCTTCGCCTTTATGAAGCTGTGGGTTAATTGGCTCTGGTGATGCAGGTTTTTAATTTATTTATTTGTGTCTTTTGGTTGAATTTGATAGACCTATATCTTTTTTTAACCTAAATATGCAATTCTGTTAAAAGAATTTACATTTTGCCTTGGAAAAAAAATAATTCAATTTGGGCTGATAAGACACTACATCTGACAGTTATGGATTGAATGTTAAAGGGTATTTTCCACTTTTGCAACCATCTCTATATATTTGTTATGTGTTCCTATTCACACAATCCTTTGTTAGGACACACAGCCCTGCTCATCAAGTTTACAAGTGACAATAAAAATCTACCAGCACAGTACAGACAGGTTAATTATGTGAAACAAAATTCCCCCTAACCTCCCACAGAGTGAGAACCAAGCAAGATTTTTCAGTCCTCTAGTTTGCAGAAACATAATGGAAAAAAGGTAAGCTACAATTTTTTAATTTTAAAGTTATGTTATGTGAATGAAAACATGTACAAATGTAAAGTATGCGTTATCTAAATTTAGTTGCAAAAGTGAAAATACACTTTAATCTGCAACAGGTCTCCATCCTTTGAGACGTCTGAGGGCTGGTTTACACCAAGTGCGGAGCAGATGCAGAGCAGAGCAGTTACAGAACGCATAAAAAATGCATCCAATGTAGTCCAATGGTATTTTTAAACTGCAGCATGTCCTATTTTTTCTGCTCTGAAATGCACCAAAATGCATGCAAACGCCCTGGAACGCACTGAACGACTTTTTTTTTTGAATAACTTTTTATTTTATTTTTTTCATACATACAAGGTAAGGTTTACAATATACAGTAAATTGCATCAGGTGGACAGTAATAAGAAATTCACAGAGGGTGCATACAGATTGATCAGGGCCATCCCACTTGGCAACACTCACATTTGCATTTGTATTTGCATTTGATAAGATCAGTTAGACATCATTATTATGGGCCATTTAGACCATTAGTAAGTATGCATGAATAGGTTCAATTCTTGAGCATGGGTTGCAATAGATATATCCTGTGAGATAAGCCACTCTGCGTTCCTTTCCTATAAACAGTTATGCTGTCCAAATTGTGCATATCTAAAATCAAGCCTATCTTAGTATTTAAACTTAATGTGAATACATGTCATTCATATGAAAACATGTACAAACCCATTACCGGTTTCAGACGTAAGTATACTCAAGCGTAAACCCCTACCAACATAAAACTGAAGAAGCGCCAGCCCTTTTTTTTTTTAAATGGCCTGGAATGCGGCAAAAACCTCATGCAGATCCAGGGGTGTGGACATTTTTGAACAAACTACTCGTCCAAGGACTAAAGCGGGGGCCGAATCTACTTGTCCTGATACAAAAAAAATTATTTTAACCAAAACCGTATTTAGCAGTGCTAAGAAGCGCTTCTCATTGATCAGTGCGGTCAGGTGACCGCGTTGACCAACGAGTGCTTGCAACTTGCGAGTGAAATTCAGAATACATGGAACAGGTACAGATAGTACACCCATACTGGTGGACAGGAAGGACCGTTCGCCGAAAGGTAAGTATAGTGGGAGAGAGATTTGTGTGGGTAATTCCATTTTCCCAAATTACTTGGGAAAGTGAATTTACCCTTTAGGGTTGGTGCAGACTTGGGGATTCCAGGGACGTGCGATCGTGTGTGGTTGCATCCGCATGTATGGGGTTACATCTGCGTGGCAATCGCTGAAAAAAAGCTAGATGTACCTATTTTCACGACATGCACCGCGCAGTGTTTTCAACCGTGATCGCCCAGGCAGTATTGCGGAAGGAAAATAATAGTACTGACAGCATGATCGGCTGTGGTGTGCGATTCCGTGACCACCCAGCCACCCGCTTGGTTTCGTGCACGATAACCGGGCAGTCACGGATCGCACACCACTGCCGATTGTGCTGTCAGTGCCATTATGTTCTAATGGCACCCCAGGTCGTGCCTGGCAGATTGCGCGTTTTCCTGCTGCAGTATCGCCTAGCCCGTGTGGTTGCACCCGATCGCAGTTGAAAGCACTGCGCGTTTATAAGGTAAGGTTTACAATATACAGTAAATTGCATCAGGTGGACAGTAATAAGAAATTCACAGAGGGTGCATACAGATTGATCAGGGCCATCCCACTTGGCAACACTCACATTTGCATTTGTATTTGCATTTGATAAGATCAGTTAGACATCATTATTATGGGCCATTTAGACCATTAGTAAGTATGCATGAATAGGTTCAATTCTTGAGCATGGGTTGCAATAGATATATCCTGTGAGATAAGCCACTATGCGTTCCTTTCCTATAAACAGTTATGCTGTCCAAATTGTGCATATCTAAAATCAAGCCTATCTTAGTATTTAAACTTAATGTGAATACATGTCATTCATATGAAAACATGTACAAACCCATTACCGGTTTCAGACGTAAGTATACTCAAGCGTAAACCCCTACCAACATAAAACTGAAGAAGCGCCAGCCCTTTTTTTTTTTAAATGGCCTGGAATGCGGCAAAAACCTCATGCAGATCCAGGGGTGTGGACATTTTTGAACAAACTACTCGTCCAAGGACTAAAGCGGGGGCCGAATCTACTTGTCCTGATACAAAAAAAATTATTTTAACCAAAACCGTATTTAGCAGTGCTAAGAAGCGCTTCTCATTGATCAGTGCGGTCAGGTGACCGCGTTGACCAACGAGTGCTTGCAACTTGCGAGTGAAATTCAGAATACATGGAACAGGTACAGATAGTACACCCATACTGGTGGACAGGAAGGACCGTTCGCCGAAAGGTAAGTATAGTGGGAGAGAGATTTGTGTGGGTAATTCCATTTTCCCAAATTACTTGGGAAAGTGAATTTACCCTTTAGGGTTGGTGCAGACTTGGGGATTCCAGGGACGTGCGATCGTGTGTGGTTGCATCCGCATGTATGGGGTTACATCTGCGTGGCAATCGCTGAAAAAAAGCTAGATGTACCTATTTTCACGACATGCACCGCGCAGTGTTTTCAACCGTGATCGCCCAGGCAGTATTGCGGAAGGAAAATAATAGTACTGACAGCATGATCGGCTGTGGTGTGCGATTCCGTGACCACCCAGCCACCCGCTTGGTTTCGTGCACGATAACCGGGCAGTCACGGATCGCACACCACTGCCGATTGTGCTGTCAGTGCCATTATTTTCTAATGGCACCCCAGGTCGTGCCTGGCAGATTGCGCGTTTTCCTGCTGCAGTATCGCCTAGCCCGTGTGGTTGCACCCGATCGCAGTTGAAAGCACTGCGCGTTTATTTGCATGCAGATGGGGCAGCGGGGGTGGTTTTCATTTTTTTCAATTTTTATTTACTTTGTAACATTTGTTTTATTATTTTTACTTTATCGCCTTTTTATTTTTTACATTTTTATTTAGTTACATTTTTTATTATTATTTTTAACTTTTTTTTTAACTAACTTTTTTTTAAACTTAACTGTATTGCTATCACACAGGGGTTAACAAGCCCCCCTGTGTGATAGCATTTGGAGGTGACAGGTACTGTTTATTGAACCTGTCACCTCCAACACAGGAGTTCTAGCATGCCCTGCTACTTGTCCGTAGCAGGGCTAAAACAGTGAAAAAAACACTTGCCCGGCGCCGGGAACTACATGTTCCGGGCGATACGAATTCCACACCCCTGAGATCTGGTCTGCATTTGGTTTGAACAAGCCCCAATTATCATAGCATTGATATGTAATTCATAAAATGCCAAATTATTTTTGTAAGAAGTAGTTGCATTTTGGCCAAGCAAAACATGAAAGAAAACAAAAAAAAAGTCACGAATGTCAAGGTCTTTTACTTTAGGTGTAACATTAACAAAAACAAACTTACTTGGAGCTTTTCGCCAGTCATAAGGAGCACCTCTTATATCTGCATCACGCGTGTAGCCCCAATCAACCATACTCTGAACAAGTGTGTAGAAATATATACCTAAAAAATAGAGTTGCAGGGAATGTGGATTAAAAGAAAACCTGTACTTAAAGCAGAACTCTGGGCAATTTTTTTGTTAACTTTGGGTGGAAAAAAAAAAAAAAAAAAAAAAAAGAAGGCCAGCTGCCTGCTACTCCAGTCCGTGAAGCCTGTCTCCTCTAGCCATGGTATGTCCCTTAGAGTCATCACATCCTATTCACTGTGCATAAAACACGAGGACTCAAGGATTGTTAGACCCCCTGCAGCAGAGGGAGAGAGAGAGTATCTAGGGACCCATCTAAGAGCAAGCCAGCTGAGGATTTGGGGAGGAGTATAAACTTTTTTTATACCTAGACAAAAATTAGCACTTAACCCTTGCAGTGCGGAGGTAGCCCTACTGCAAGAGTTAATAAAAAATAGTTTTGGAGCTCTGCTTTAAAGAAACATGTTAGCTGCCACTCTAACTTTCTTCTAAGAAAACTAATAACCTGGCTGTCTTTGCCTTCAGTGCTTTGAGCCATGGACCCAGAAAAGTCAGTGTATTTAATGCAATGGATCAGCACGAAAGTCGGACAACTATGTTTTTCAGAAAGAGCGGTCAACAATGGCAGCCCCTATATTCTCTCAGTACAGATGTATTTATTCATAATTTATTAGGAAACAAAATACTAAAACATTATTACCAAATATGTGCCATTCATCCTCATCTCCTAAATAAAACACTTGCCAAAATGCCCTATGCCAAACTAATGACTAATATTGGTGACTTCTCCATGTTACAAGCATCAACTCAGTCAAAAGGCTATTTTCACCTTTAGGGACCATTCACACCAGAATGATGAACGGGTTCCATGCGTTTAGCTCACGTTATCGCACAACGCGGTGTAGTGCACCTTGCAGTGGGTGGGCATTGCATGTTGCTGTGCATTGAAAAAAGTATTGCATGCATAATATTTTTCACTTCATGAAAAATAGCGCAATGCACACCCACTGGGAGGGATATTGAGGTGCTATTAGGAAAGAATGGCAATACAACGCAGCAGTGCACCTAGCGTATGGTGCACGGTGATGTGCGATAGCGTGCGCTAAATGCACAGATACCGCACCGTTAGCGCAACACTCTAGTGTGAGCCTGCTCTTACAATGCTCCCAAAACACATTTGCCTTTTAAGATTCCCTGAAAAATGCATTAGGTCAGATTTATGTGGCTGCAGATTTAATAAAGATTGACGGTACACATTCAAAATTCGAAAAGAAATCAGGGTATTATAGGTAATTTGTTAAACGTATACTATCCCGTATACGTTTAACAAATTACCTATAATACACCGATTTCTCATGCTGCACGAGTATGTATACAAGTATAGCATCAGAAATATGTCAAGAAGCTCATCCATTTCTTGAGCAATGAGACCTTGAGTGCCATCTACAGAAAAGTTGGAAAAGGGCACAAATCACCCATTCTAAAGAATCAGTTGACAAAGAAGAATAATGTAACAACTCCTGCTGACAAATGCACAAATGTTTTGTTTTTTTCTAATGGTGTATCTGGACATGCAACTAGGATATTGCAGCAACCTCTATGTTCTAACAACTGATTGCATTAGCAGAACCTCCTTAAAAAGTGCTTCATCTTAGCAGCAGTTAGTAAATTCACAATTTGGCCTGGCATGTTGGTTGGTATTCAGTTAGGATTTTGAAATATGTCAGATGGATAGGCTAATTTCATACATGTTTTATTTGCAGAGTTTACATTCAAAGTTGGCTTTTTCAGTTTCAAGGCTCAATTTAGGCATATTCGCGATTCGCGGTAAAAACGCGCATTTCCGAGGGCTACTTGGCTGTATCCCAATGGAAACGCACGACAAAAACGCCGCAAAGAAGCTCATGTACCTTTTTAGGCGTAGGCCGTTTTGTAGCGTGTTCAGACGGGCTGAAATACGGCAAGGTGTGAACCATACCCATAGAAAACAATGGGATTTTCATATTTGAGCGTTTTGTAGAGCGTTCCTAGAGTGTTGAACGCGCTACAAAACGTACAGGTGTGAACCAGGCCTAAGTGTCTTTTATCTGAGTTCCCATCATTCTTTAACTTCGCCAAAAGTTTAGGGTAGTTGTCTGTCTAGTGACTAACAAGATAAAGGTAACCAATTTTTCTTTCATGCCTAGGTACGGTGGGATTTTTTTTTTCCAACAGAGCTTCTAATAAGTTTCTAACTAGGCTTCAATGAAAAATTATGGGAATAAGATAGTAGAGGCTTCCTGGGCTTTGAGGCATTCCCACCAAATATGGAACATAAATCTCTGTGAGTCCCTAAAGTTACATAGGGAGGCAGTGGGTGTGTATTTTGCAGTTCTGTCAGAAGTTAGACATTATTGGATTAAAATGGCATTAAAAAGTCACCCTCCCCCCCCATTGTAATTCCACTTTTAATACTTAGCTTATGTGATGCCTCTTGCTGCGATCATCTTCTTTCTACCCGCCCACCAGCGCCAGTCTCTGATCAAGCGCAGAGTTCGGTGTCCCACGGAGTCTGTCCGCTGTGCACGCTCCCGGCTGCGTGCATTCACTGACAGTACAGAAACAGGAACCATACCGCACTCCTTACCGGATTCCCACTTGATGAAGATGGGTGCTCGAAATGACTGCGGATGGTACCGCCACACATGAATAGAAAAATGTCACCAGCACACCATACGTTGAAAAAGCAAAATATTTTATTGCCAATAGCTGTATCTCATTGGCAAGCGCTTTCGGGGCCTCGCAGGGTCCCCTTCATCAGGCTTAGAGATAACAGTGAAGTGTCAAGGGCATTCCAATTGATAGACTACCCTACTCATTGTGGTGTACTGCCTTTAATCCACAACAATGGGGGATAGAGGTGTATAGGGATTCTACATCTATCCCGACCATAAATCTTCATTTTATTAAGTTTTCGAAGTACGTCTCCTGTATCCTTTATGTAAGAGGGTAGTTTGAAAAACAGATCCTTGAGGAGGGTATCCAGATACTTTCCCAGGTTCTCCAATGGGCCGCCTACAGCTGATACTATGGGTCTACCTGGGGGGTTAGATTTATTTTTATGTATATATACTCGAGTATAAGCCGTCCCGAATATAAGTCAGATGACCCCGCTCGGAGCGCCGCCCACCGGAGCAGCAGTGACGCGACGCTCGGCGAGGTAAGTAAGAAGAAACCTGACCAGCTCGAGACGCTGACTCGAGTATAAGCCGAGGGGGGGACTTTTCAGCAAAAAAAATGGGCTGAAAAACTCGGCTTATACTAGAGTATATACGGTATCTTTGGTATGATATAAAAAGTGGGGATATTGTATTCCTTAGTTTTTTGAAATTTAAATTCCTTAGTAGACAAAAGTTCCACCTCTTTTGTTAAATCCAGCTTAAAATTGAATTCAAATATCAATTCTTGAAAAGGGGAACTGTCTAATTTCTCATATGTTTGTTTATCAGAGAGCAAGCGCTTGACCTCTAACGTACATGACCTCTGATGATAAAACAACATTGCCACCCTTATGGCTCATCTTAATGATTAGGCCAGGTTTTTCCTGAAAATTCCCGTAGGGCCCTGCTTTTTGATTTTGAAAGATTATTCTCTCCCTTCACCCACCAATTGGTCAGTTTAAGGTCCCTATGTACCAGGTCCTTGAAGAGGCTTAGGTTTCGATTATTGGCAAGAGTTGGCATTGTCTGGGATTTATTACGTAGTTGGGTCATTCTTATCTCCATGGGGGGTTCGGTTGGTTTATTCTCCTCCTCTAGATTTTCTTCCAGTAAGGCATTCAGATCCTCAAGGGACTGTTTGTTCATATCAGTCACCGAGGTATTTGCCTGTTCAATCAGTAAAACTTCCTTATTAGTGTGTAAATATCTCAGATATACCTTTCTCATATATAGATTTAGGTCCTTGAAGATCGTGAAGTCATCCATTCCCTCCACAGGGTAAAAGGATAAACCCCTCTGATATGATGCTGATATGATCTATTCCCAGCAGGAAATCGGTCAAATTAATGACCTCATTCCCTTCCTTTTCCCCATCTCTCCCTGTGGGGGATCTGGGTTTAGTTCTGTCTTCCTCTCAATCTGGTAGTGACCCCCTCTTCCCTGACAATCTTCATGTCTTTCTGGGTATTCTCTCCCTCGTCTAAAAAACTAACCGACCTCCTTAGTGCTTCATTCTCACTTTCACTGGATGGTCTTTCCCCTCCAACTCTCTCCTTACTTTTGTAGAATCTCACTCTCCATTGGCTCCGCCCCCCTCCGCTGTATTAGGTCAAAAATCTGACCTTTCTCCCAGTCATCCATGTCCCGCTGGAATTTAGATTGTTTAGTGGATCGTAAATTCCTTTGGGTCATTTCCACTTCCTTCTTTAAAAACTCATTTTGGGGGGCGTGGCCGGGACGTGAAGCAGCACGGATGTGACTGAGGGAGCTCCGCCGCTGCACTGACCTTTATCCGGTATCCATCCTGTAGATTCGGCTCCTGTCATACTCACCTAAGCTCCGGTGGATGTCTGGAGCAGGGGGAGATGCCATCTAGGTCCGGTAAGAGAGGCAACGGTCCCAAAGGAGGCTGGAGACGATCACAGCGGGCGGCCTGGTGTCCCGCAGCCGCCATCTTGCCCAGGTCCCCTGCTTCCTGTGAGTGCACACGCCGGTCTCTGAGCATGGAGGGGGACGCTGCTGGCGCTGCTGAAGCGGCGCTGGCCCCTCCGGAGCAGCCTGTCTCCTCACCAACAGCAAATAAAGAGAGGACTGAGACGACCACCATCCTGGAGGCCCTGGAGGGCTGTAAAACAGCCCTCACGGCAAAAATTGACCATCTGGCGGTGGAGTGCACCCTGATCAGACATGATCTGGAGAAAATAAGGGGCAGGCTATCCCATGCAGAAGCGTGGGTGTCGAGGGTGGAAGACTCAGTCCAGGAGCATGCTACTGCCATACAAGATCTGCAACGTACAGTGAAGACGCTGGCGGCAAAGGTAGATGACTCAGAAAACAGA